CATGATGGAAAACTACTCCACACGCTCCATCTCATCATTGGAAGACAATCTATGAACCAAACATACTTCGCTTAAGGATTCCATAACCCTTTCACGATCCTATGAGTTGCCAAAGGCGGCCTAAAGCTGATGACTGAACATTATGCATTGCAGATTCTCAAAGGCCTCATAATATTATTGGTTCTAAAATCTTTTGATTACATGTCATATCTCATTGATTCTAACTTGAAAAGTCTTGATTGGGAGGATCCAATAGACGACTATCTGGCAGCCCTGCAGACATGTATAAATGCTTCTGACTTCATATTAGAAATAAAAATTTCTACAGAAACGAGAAAAGAAAAAGTATGTAACATGAGCGAAGACTTGGATTTCACATAGAAGGCAAGAAGGCAATAATAAATGAAAATTCCACCATTAGTTTTTTTTTTTTTTTTTTTGGGGGGGGGGGGTTAAAGTAAACTAGAAAAGAAGAGGATAATTCATGCCATTATCAGAACTTTTGAAATAATATGATAGCTCCTTTTTCCCAGCCAGTTTTTTTCCTCCTCATCTCTCAAAGAAAAGAGGATGAACAACCAGAATGACATAAAACAGCTCAAAATTTCCCATCGGTTTCTCTAGCAGTCTCCCTCTAACAACCAGTTTTCTTCTGCTCCTAGTTCTCACCACCCAATTCCCTATTTTATAAATTTTGTTAATAGAGATGCAATTATATATGACAGCTACATCCAAAGATGACACTCGGGTTTAGGCTTCTCAAAAGTCAAAACATAATAATCTCCTCTATCAACAACTCGGCTAAGTTATCAAATTTTTCTTCTGCTTTTAGCCATAAAAAGTAACCATTTCTTACAATGCATTACATTGCCATCTGCCCCTTATACATTGTAGGTGGTAGACTAGGACCTTATTCTCTATGATCAGGGATACAGAACACAGCATTAAGACTCCGAGGGGCAACGATTTACAAGCCTAGGCTAATTATAAAATATTAGCAATGCAGCAGTACAAGGTCAGAATTACAAGCATCCGTATCCTAAGTAATTCGAGCACACAAGCAATCATCGAGGAGTTTTAAAATAACCTTACTCTGCCACCAAACTAATTTTATCATTTTGTCATCCTGGAACAAGTCTCAGGTCCACTCAACAGCAATATGCATGAAACCACTAGTACATTTCTCAACTACTCACACGATTACAAGTGAATCTTAAATGCAACTGACTACGCAAATATTAATGGCGAAACATTGCGAATCCGAAAACCATACCGTACTAGCAAGCCAAAATTAGCAAGCATGACTCGTCTTATATTGTTATCAGACAAAATTATCTTACTAATCAATAGGAATCGATTAACAGGAACAGATTCGGAAAAATCAACGAAGCGTAAAAAGAGCGAAGCACCTGTGGGCGAACTGACGGATCTTAGGATGCTTGACACTAATGATCTTTCGCTGAAGCCTCAAAGCAAGCCTATAAGTTCGCTTGAGGCCCAAAAAATAGGCGGTTGCGACGGTAATCTCCCAGAGAACCATGATCTTCTCCCTCGAAATGAGAGTATCTGTTTCAGAGAATGGTTGGGGTTATGTGTTGAAGCTTTCGGTTGGTTTGCTTTCCTCTATTAATTTATTGCTCAGCCTTCCCACGCACCGTTTCCTGGGGCGCAAGTTTACTCCCTCCACCCCCTTTCCCCCTTTGCACTCTTGAACAAGGCCGCCAGAATTTTCGTTTGGCGACGTCCGTCAATTCTCTAATTCTCTATTCTTCCCCGTGGTTACCCTTTTTCCTCGGTGGCATCGTGACCGTTGGTTATCTCGTTCATTTCATCTGAACCGTTGGCTATTATTTGAACTGCGGATCATCTAATTTGCCTCTTGTTTCCCGTCAATGCTATGAAATTAAGAGAGGCATTATAAAGCAGAGTTTATTTTATTTATGTTCATTGACCTTTATGTTTTTATAAAATATTTTCCAAATTTTTGACTTATCTAAACTGAGTTTGAGTTATCTTAGGGGTAAACTTTAATTACTATCTTCGGTGGTTAATATAAAATTCAATTGATTAATTTAAAAAGATTAATGAAATTAAGAAATTACTTAATTATAACACAAGTTATATGATCTTACTGAAACACTTATGTATATCATTATATTATATATCAATTTATAAGTTAAGCAAATTAGTTTAGAACAAAATGATAAATATAAATATTTTGAAATAATTTTTTAGTTTTCTTAATCGTTCCAAATTAACCAAGTAAGTTTTATATTAAAGTCAGGAAATAATAGCTTATTATACGCTTGCCAATTACCATTTTTGTCGATAGTTTATTTGAATGAATGAAGAGTAAAACAATTCATTCAATAGATACTCTCTCAGTATTACATTTAGACTCGATGAGTAATAAAATAAAAGTGGGGATATAGCAGCAATGTGTGCGTGAACAGAACAGTTTTCCTCCTTGTAAATGGAACTTGATGATTTTCTTATAAAATGACGGACCATGACTATTAAGTTATTCTGCCCCCACCCTGTCTTTGTGGTTTTTTTTGGGTAAATATGGAAGTCGTTTCAAGCTTTCAATCCTGCTTCCACTGGTTTGGCAGATGGTGTGTTAAGTATTGTGGGGCATAAGAAGAGTTTCACTGGGAATGGGAATGGGAACAGGAACGGGAACATCCATGAGCATGGTTGTGATGCAGCAGGAATATCCAATGAGATTTAGAATATATTGCCTCCAGTTGTTAATACAAAATCTAGTTTAACATTTAAATTGTTGTTAAATACAAGAACATAATCTATTTTGTCTCTTATATTTATTTATTTTTTTAAAATAGTTCTTGTACTAATTGCATACATTAAATTTTTATCAATTGGTAGTACTAGCTAATATTCATAATTAGTAAAGTTATTTTACAAATTTAACTAATTTTATAATATACTCACATCAATTAATTAGCTATTATTTTAAGAATCGGGTTACTGCGAGCGGGAGCTTCACTCCAATGGAGAAAGGGCTGCTTCAAACTTGAATCTTTTGTCAAATTCCGGCGTTGGTTTAATTAATCGCAATTTATTGCGGTGATCCAAGGAAATTGAAGCAAGGCATCTTGTGATCCAATGAAATCGTGGCAAAGCACCATAGAACCCTTGAATCATTCAAATTGAGATTAGATTAGGGGATGTTTGGTTTAACCCAAAAATACATTTTTACATAAGTTAAAATAAAACTCTTCTTATATACTTACTTTGTAAGCTATAAAATCACCTTTTTTTTTTTTTTTTGCTAAAGCATAGATATTTTCTTATTGGAGGTAATTCTATTCGAGGTACTGTTGGGCACTAAATGTGAGCATCTCTCTCAGTGGGGATTCGAATATTGATTCGTCGCATTGTGAGAGACTAACTCTTTCTACTAAACCCAACCCCGTTAGTAGCTATAAAATCACTTTTACATCAGACATGGGGCTCCATTGGGCTTTTTTTGGGTAACTGAAGTAGGCGAAGCCCAATACAAAATACAAACTATACGCAGTTAATTCTTGGGCTGAAATTGGGCTGGTTGAATACCCAAAAACAATTGGGTTGGTTGGGCTTTGCTGGGCAAGTACGAATATAAAGTCCGTCTTTTGTCTGAATTGCTTGGGTTAGACACACTTGGAGCCTAAATTATTGCTGGCTCAACCTGTGCACGAGACGAGGGATTATTGAGCTCGAATTGGAGCACTGGAACAGCTTCAATTTCTTTTTTATTGATTACTATGATTTTCGTATAACATATACAGTCAATTTGTTTAAAATTTTCAAATTTTATCAATAATCAATTATTATTTCATGGGGAAATAAAATGTTCACAAAAATTTACTGACAGTTATTAAATAAAAAATCATACATGAATTAAACTTTAAAAAAATTCAACTTGAAAAGATTGATTTGTAAATAAAGAGAATCATATGACTTTTTGTGTGGCATACAGTCCTGAAAAGAACAAATCGAACTTTGAAGTTATTGCCGACAAAGAAATATATCAAAAAATAAAGGGAAGGAAAAATACTAAAATAGCGATTAACACAAGAGGAAGTGTCAAATGAAAGAAGATAAAGGGAAGAAAACCCTTTGGAGATAGGAAGGGAAAGAAAAAAGAAAAGAATAGAAAAGAGTAAAAGCCAAGCAAAGACTTCATGATACTTAAATATGTTTTTATTTAATTAAAACAAATGAGGTGGATTTTAAAATATTGATAACAGTAATAACAAATTTAAGAAATCTAAATACTATCTTGATTTGATTGAAAACAAATATACGTAAATCTTCCCCGATGTTTAATTAATCGAAGGATAACGATAAGATCAGAAGAGTAATTGCTTCAGTAAATGTACTTTAATTTGACGATAAAAATAAACTGAACTTCTCTATCAAAATAAATAGGAAAAATTACAAATAAAGACTCTCACCTGAATAAGAAAAATTACCATGAAGGATCCAATCTCATATTACAAATATGAAATCTTGGTGAAATGTCTGAAATGTCCCTCAGCCAAATGACAAGTTGACTATAGAAAATGACAAGTTTACTTCAACGAATAACAACTCTAGTACATCAAATCACAACTTAGTTGAAGATATGTCAAATGACAAGTTGATTATAGAAATAATAAATTTATTTTAACAAATGACAATTTCAGTAGTCCTAATCATAACTTAACTGTGGGGTATTTTAGATATTTCGTCAAAATTTCATATTTGTAATATGAAACCGAGTCTTTTATGATAATTCAGGTTATCTCTATATAATTTTAGTAATTCGAGAGGTCTTTGTTTGTTATTTTTCGAAATAAATATATAAATAATATCTGGACTTTAATTTGACGATAAAAATAAATTGAACTTCAGCAAAACACGATATAATAGAATAATATCCGGACTTTTCAACGGTAGATTTCTCGCACTCTCCGCTCAGTCTTCCTCCGTCCCTCTCTTCTGCGTCTGAGACCATGCATAGACAGTCCCTGAGCTCACCGTCCTTAAAGCTTTACAGCCATGGCGGAGCCAAGGAAGAGACGGAGAATGTCGAAGAACCGAAGCTCAGAGACTCTGTTTCATCGTCGTCCATATACGACGAAGACGGCGATAACGCCGGGAAGAGTCGTCGAGCATCATCGCCTCCTTCCAGAACAGACAAGTTCATCCACCTCCTTCCCATTCTCATTTTTTGCTGCTTCCTCGTTCTCTACCTCTGCTCTCACACTCCCTCCGCGTCAGACATGGAATCGTTTCGCAGATTCAAGCTCTCCTCCGAGCGTTCTGGTATAATGCATTTCCAGATTCCCACATTAATTTCATTCAACTAATTTTCTTTTGCTATTTTTTTTTTTAACATTCTCTACCAATGTTCTTATAATGCATTTCCAAATTTTTTTTGATAGACTTAGCGGTGGATATGAACGATATCCGGCAGATTCCAGCAGACGGAGCCGATATTTTGCCGATTCGCACCCTGAAAAATTTGCAAGAGACACGGCCACACAGGAAATTCGCCGATTTTTAAGCCGCATTAACTGGTTTTACCATCTTGATCATTCCTGCAACTTCGTTTATCAGAATAGCTTTCTTTGCTTCACTTTCTTGGTCGTGCGTGAAAATTAAACAATAATAAGAGGAAGAAAAAAATAAGTTATGCTCTTAAATTCTGTATAGGCATCTGAAATTTGGAATGCAATGCCTCGCCGGTTCCTAATTTATAATTGATAAATTACCAAAAGATTATCCGCCTCTGTTTCAGTTGTTTTGAGCTGTGTTTGATTATTGCAATTCGGAGGGGGTGGTGGTGTAGGTTAAAGTGAGCCTCCGGCGAAGGCGCAGGATAGCAGTTGCGCCATTTTTTGGAACCCAGCTGGATTTTGGGACCGTTAATGCACTTCGAATTGAGAGGTAGGGAACTGGATGCGAATGCGATGCCAACTGGAAATAATTTGAGGAAATTATTATCTGGATTAAATTTGGTTTTTTTTTTTTTTTTATTTCATCCCATCCACGTTATAATATGAAGATCCAATTTAGTTTTAAATATAACATATTAATCTATTGAGAAAATTGAAAAAAAAAAAACAGCTGAAATTGAAAAATTACACATAAGGACGCGTTCACAAAATTGTTTTCAAAACTCATACAATTGTTGTAACGGGTTCTTATTTATAATTTTTTTATTTCGGCGGTTTTTTTCTACTTCCTAATCTATTTTATATAAAATTTTTTAAGATCATATTATATTTAATATAATTTTTTAAATAGTTCTTATATTAAAAAGTGAAGAGATGATCACGTTGACAGAGATCCAATTATTTATAACAAAACAAAGCTATCCCTCGTTGCATAATCTTTGCTTTCCTTCTAATAATGTTCAGTCCTCTTGGAAAAGTTCTTTATGACTGGTTCTCTGAAAGGAGCAAGTTTACCTATTAACACTTCTATTTCAATTTGAATTGATAATTAATGAATGGAAAGTTTTGTGATTTTGCATAATTTGGATATCTACTTTCCACTCACTCACATCATTCTTTTTTTTTTTACCAGAAACTCACATCATTCAATCTACACCTTTGTACAAGAGGTTTGGTTGGAACCTAACTGATTTGGCAAAACTCTAAATTTAATCTCTTCAAGAATTAAGATCTTAAGTTGGTTCGGATTAGTTTGGATTATGTTAAAAAGAGATTTTTTTTTCAATTAAAGATACTGTAATTATGTTTAGAAATTATATTTGAAGTTATACTCGTTTTCGGAAAGAAAATTGATATTAAAATGATTACAATTACGATTACAATTTTATAAAAAGAATTGAAGTTAGAAAAAAAGACATTTATCCTTATGATATGTTACTTAATTGGATAAAATGTTTAAAAGATCAAAGCATTGATTCAGTTATGTGAAAAGTAAAAAGTAGTATTGATTTCAATTTGTTGAGAAAAAAATATATTGAAGTTTCCATATATTTAATTATGGTCCCAAATATAACTTCAACTTACACATTATCTCGATGATTTGGTTTTATGTAACCAAACCAAAACTGAATAAAACAATTAGATTTTGACATTACAAAAAATAAACCAACTCTCATTTGTAACTATTTTGTCAGTAATTTTGAGTTTTTTTTATAAAAATTATGCAATAACTTTTTACCATTAATATATCATATTTTTGTATAAACTTTAGCATGGTTTATATTGAATTTTAATTAAGATTCTTAATGGAGTTTTTCCTAAAACTTCCGTGACAGAATTTCGGGAGTTTTTCAGAGCAGACAGTCCCACGCATTGGTTCCAAATAGGAATGGAAGACAATGGGTCTCTAAGAATATCAAGGTAGATCAAAGATATAGGGCTCGTTAAGATCAGCAATTGGAAAAGTAGCTTCTTAGAAAAGTAGCTTTTGAAAAAATAAAGTTAGATATAAATTAAATTGGATAAGCTGAATTGTGTTTGGATTGGAGTTTAGAAAAGTCAGTTTGCAAAAGTAAGATTGGTAAAAAGTTGTTTGGATTATGGTTGAGTAAGTTTGATTATAAAATAACTAAAATAGATATGAGTTTTAATAAATAATAAAAGGCCTGTTTGGGATCACGTTTGGGCCTCCAAACGTGCATCCCCAACGGAGAAGCAACAGGCAAACTGAAAATGGGTGTTTGGACACACGTTCATGCAACCTGACTTCTGCCACTGAAATGCACTTCTGCTATAAGTTGAAAGAAGCTATTTTTTGGTGAGGGTGTGCGTTGCAGAATACCGTTAGAGGATTTGGGTGTTAATTTATTGATTTTGTGCGGCACATGTAACCCGACATCTTAACATTAACACACTAATGTTAGTGGACTCTTTCTCTAATATATTGCAGGTGTAACTTCATGAATTTTGCGACAAATATCAAATGTCTTGAGGGTGAGGAGACAAGGCCAAAGAAGCAACTAAATTAAATTTCCTTGTTTTTAATAATTTTATTTTCATTACTTCTTTAAAAATCGTAATGTTTTCTCTCTCTATTGTTAAAGGCTGTGAATATCACGAGTAGCGCACCATGGAGCTAAGTAGCTGCTCGTGACTCGTGAGTGGAGCTCCTGTTAGCGCTCATTCTCCCTTGGCTCCTTGGCATCTTCCCGAGTCTCTCCCTCTTTGGGATGCTACTTTTGAATTCCCTCAATATTTTTTTCCCATCAATCCACTACCTCAGTTTTAAATATAAGAATTAATTTGACATTTAATACGGTTTTAAATATAAGATTTCAATCTACTTTGTTTTATATTTATCTATTTTTCTTAAAATAGTCTTTGCAGTAGTTTAATATATTAAATATTTTGTCAAATAATAGTTATAACTAATACACGTGATTATCATGAATATGTTAAGATATTATAATAACTAAATTAAGTGATTTTTTTTTAATTCACTTATATTAGTTCATTAGCTTTTATATTAAAAATCAGAAGTGTTATAATATAAGAGTTCTTTGGTGGATCTGATGGAGGCAGATTACAATTCCACAGCAACCTGAGGAAAAGATTTGAAGCTCTAACCCAACGGAAGGAAAACCTTCTCTATATTCAGAAGAGGGATAATTCTTCCGCCGTGGAAGAGGAAAATCCTCCATACGAGACGTTCTCTCAGAGAGAATGGAGAAAATGTCTACTTCGGATTTCGGAAAATAAAATCACAATATTGATCGAAGAAAAAAGGGATGCAAACACAATGAATGTGGGTAAAATTTATAATGTATTTAATAGAATAAAAATACAATCGAAATAATCATTCTTACTTAATGATCCATGCATTCGTGCTTGGAAAAAAAAAAAAAAAAGTATTATACTTGATTACTGTTTAGGTTTGGATCAACCTTGAATTAATTGGGACACAACCTTTCTGTTCAATTACTCTTCATTAATTTTTTTTTACAAATAACTTCAATCTACTCGTATCTTTCAAAAAACTACAGCCATGCACCGTAAAAATAGCATTATAATAATAACAACAAGAAGAAGCTAAAACAACAATGTCAGAATCGGGCTAGACCTGCTAGTTCGACCACAAATTGGTGCCTGGTCCAATTAGGGACAAAGTGAAACCTGGCCAACAAAAGAACCAGAGGGAACTGGTCAAAACCGATCATAAACTGTTTTTTTCCCTTTGAAAAAGTTCAATATCACAAAACTATGTTATTTTGTATTTTTCTTTGTGATTTTCCTTTAGAGTTATATATCTATATATATGAATGATAATTCATTGGTGATTTTAGTCAATGATAGAAACTTGGGCTGCTTTTGTTAATGAATTAATGTGACGTGTGATAATTTTGGTGATATGTAGCAGATAATAAATGGTAGTTCTATTATAATAATGGTATGATTGACTATAAATTTTGACAATATTCCTTAATTATAATATTTTAATTAAGAATGGTCTGACCACGGACCCAGTCCGGTTCTAACCACATTGGTTAAACTTGATTAAAAAGCAGACCCGGGGGAAAAAAAAGGGTCGATTGAAGAGTCAGCTCCAAAAGACTTTCACAGGAACAAGGTAACAAGTTACATATTACCACAAAATAAATGGAGAAAGCGACACAAATCATAAAAACAAAATCATCAAACACCTACATACTTCGGCACATCTTTTTCTTACAAAGGAGGGGGGGGGCTAAACTGCAAATTTGTCCAAGTAACTAGTGAAATCCGAGCTATATTTTAAAGCAGAAACGAAAAAAGGCTACATAAGTGGGAAAAAGTTGGCAGGAGTTCCATACACAAGAAGAAAATTATAGGATCAGGCCTTCAGGAGGAGAAGACTTGTATGGGTTCTATTCACCTGTTGTTGGTGCATCTAAGACTCGGAGGGGGCCGGGGCATGCTGATCCTTTTGCTTCCGTTCCTCTTCTGTATTTTGCACTTTCTCCTTTGTCTTCTGTCCTACATCTTCAGCTGTCTTAACAACCTTACTGAAAGCACCTGTAACCCATGAAGCCCCAGTGAGTATATAGCGATTTTTCATGATAGCAGAACCCGCTTCATTGACTTTCTGTTCTGCAGCTGCAAATGCCGTTTTGGTTTTCTCTGAAACCTGAAACTTTTGATCCACTTCTCGAACTCGATCACTCACGGCTGAAGCACCAGCAGTTATTTTCTCACTGAACCCAATTTTCTGATCAAAAGATGCAACTTTTGCTGAGGCAGTTGATGATAACTGATGCTTCTCATCGAATGTCTTTGCTTTGGTGACGGTATCTTTCCCCAAGACAAAGCCCCTAGCCATCATGCCGGTGACCACATCCTCTGCCTTTCTTAAAGCAGATTCAGAACCACCAGTAGCAGGAGTCTTACACTCAGTTACCTGTAAAGCCACAGAAACAGTTATGCCAAAACAGCCTAATCTGGTTTAACTTCTTTCAAGTGATTTTATGTGAGAGGAGTTTTGTCCTGTAAAGCATAGAAGAGTTTTTTTTTTTTATATATATATTCTGGGGTTTTCCAAAACACCCCTTAGTACAATTGTAGAGGTTCATGCAAAGCTTACAGGTGATGTCAAAGCAGCTGGTGGGACCTGGTAATCAGGATCCACAGTTATTGTAACCGACGAATCAACTATTGTTGCTCCCTGACAATTGTCAAACCAGGGTGGAACTTGGTTACACAATTAATTGTAAGGTATATGAACTGATATACAAAAGAGATAGATGAGGTTGTGAACAATAACTCATTATATAATTACAGCCATGCGACTCCCCCCCCCCCCAAAAAAACCCCAAAAAAAAAAGGGCACAGTTATATGCTTCCAAAATAGAGGCACCAGAACATCTTGGTAATAGATAAAAATAACCCCACCAAGAAGAGAGCCGGTGGCAAATAAAGAATGCAACGCAAGCTTATACTTTTAACCACAAGGTCTCATCCGAACTATTCAAAATCCCCTCTTGCCAGCCCCTTCTATTCATGTTAAATCTGACATTGACTGATCTTAGTTCCCAAAGGATACTTCTATCCAAAAGCCACGAGAGAATTTTCAATATCATGACTTTCAAGAATTTGTACGTCATCCATCCAGTAAGATCAGAGAACTCTAGATTAATATATTGCAGTGCCAGCCCTGATAGTCAAGCTCCAAAATAATCCTAAACCCTCTCATTTGTCTGCTGTCGAGGAAAAGGAAATCTAAGATTCAGAGCCAACATTTTGTTATGATTGGAAGAGGTTTTTTTCAATTGGAGATCTTTATGGTCAAAAAACTAGTATGAACATCGCCAGACCATCTTCTTTTCCTTGCAGTGTAGTTTAAAGCTAGAAATGAATCCAGATCCTGATTTCTCAAAAAACAGCTCTAGATATATGCAAGTTCGAAAAACTTTCAAGGGGCAGCACAGATAACACAGATAACCAAGAAAACTGAGACGCTTGTTTAAAAAAAAAAGGTTTTCCAGACAATATGTGAAGCGAAATTATTCATCATGATTGAAGATAACATGAGAAGTGACCTTATTTTAAACAAGAAAGTTCTTGACAAAAGGAGATTTGGAAGCCTATCTGAACCAAGCAGCAATCCACAATTGTCAGATGGATTATATTTTCCAGATACTTCACTGATATTTATCCAGAAAGCTACATATATCAACTGACCATAGCACCTCTAAAAAACTATCAAGGCAACAAATCACAGACTAGAAAATTTGCGGTACTTGACCGTGTATTAAAATTCAAGTTCATTGATGATAGTCAAATTACCGATAGTAGTGCAGCAGTCTCAGCTCCTTGTGCATCCTTGAAGGTGACATAAGCAATTTGAGATCGTTCATCATGACTACATCAGATAAGAGGTCACAGTTATAGTTTAAAAAAGAAGCTCAAATAGACAGCACCATAAAATAAGGGACTCCATACGTCAAATATAGCAACTTCCCACTTACCTCCTCAGTTCAACATACTCAATATCACCAGAAAAGAAAAAAAACTCCTTAAGGTCTTGTTCAGTCGCTTCCAGTGAAAGATTACTGACTTTAACAGTTTTTGTTTGCTGCATAAGCGAAGTTAATGAGATTTTAGATATGTCACACTCAAAAGCAAAGGTTAAAACATATCACAGATTCACAGGAGTACTGACAATCAATAGAGAAAGCCTACACCTAAAGGCCAGATGCATGGGGGAAAGAAAAAAACGAAACTTTAAAACACAATTCTGGTCACCCGCAGATAAAAATATTTCAATCAGCTAGACTAAAGAAACACACACATTCACTTTCCGACTTCTCCCCTGGATAAGAAAAATTGGACCACCCTTTAAAATCTCTTTCTCATCTGCTAGCAGCCAAAATAGTACGGCTTATAATTTGGAAATCTTACATGAAGCATGCAAATTTTTCCAGTTCTTAGTACTCCGTGTTTGTTCCATTCACAAACAAAAACAGTTTCCTCATACTTCAAAGCATTAGTTTTGGTGATGATTTTAGTGATATAAAATCCATCTTTGAGATTAATTTTTTTTCCCATTTATTACTATGTATAACCGAGGTTCTAACTTCTAAATAGTTAGCTAGCAAAGTAAATAATTCTATTATCCAAAAATAGTCTTGCCATGCAGTTTGGTCATTTTCTTTACTTTTTTAATTGTGTAACTTTCAAGATGACATCGTTTAATCTAAATTATGAAACAAGTAGAATTGGAGCATCGTTTCCGCACATCGCTTCGTATAAATAATCAGATAAACTATTGAAGCATGGTTTCGGAATATCTTACGACCACGTATTGGATTATTATTGGAAAACACATCTGCAACTAATCCACTACCAATAAAGTGAATCTTAAATAGCAGCAGGTAGGAATTGGTTAAACCTATAGGAAAATTGCGTTCTAAGAAGTGATGGATATGAGAGAAAATAATACAAACGGCCGGCCTTTAAGCAAGAGTTGAAAGTAACAGATAGATCATTCTTTCAAAGCATAATATACGGAAACAGAAATTTACACCGAAGAATTCAAGCCAACAAACAATTTAAGCATTCGCACACGAAACATTTCCATCCAGTCCGCACATAAGTCAACCAAGCTAAGGCTCATACAAATAAGACGGACAAAGAACCAAAACTCACCGACATCGCGAAACGACTGGCAATAGAAATCTCTCGTGAACTGAAATCACCAAGTAACTCAGCTATCGGAGGGATTATCTCTGTGGCAAAGCCTTTGAAAAGCGAAGTCCGCGAAGAAGATTTTGCAGGCGGTTGATTTTTATTTCACAAGAGTGTTTTTTTTTTTGGGGGGGGGTTATTATTGATGGGTCTTAGAAACGCGTGCTTGACTTAGGTTCGCACGTGCGAGTGCGAATACCGTAGCGAGAAAGGAAATTCTACCGTGTTACTTGAAAATGCCCCGAGTCGGACACGGAGCCCCGGTTTTCCTTTTTGGCCGGCAAACACGGGGTTGAGGTGTGGAAGGAACATTGATTTATACAAGTGCTCGTCATAAATATGCGGTTGATAATTCATTCTCGTGCTCGTTTGGTTATGATAAAACGGTAACAGGATACATTTGGTTATAATAATAAAAATATCGGGAAAAATAATAATCTACGTGTTCATTTTTAGTTGAGTTAGTTATAATAAATTAATGTTGTATTGCATTGGATTTGGACATATCCCTCCTTAAAAATATTGGAAAAATAGATAAATATTGGAGGTAAAATCTAACTAGCTTTTATATTGAAAATGAGAGGTAGTGTATTTTGGGAAAAATTGGATTAAGATCCAAAAGAATTAAGTACCAAAAAAATCTTTTGAAATCACTGAATTAATCTGAAGTCTCAAGAAATTTTATTGCAAGAAATTTAGTTTCAATTATTAAATTGCTCTCATATTGAAAAGACAGTTATTAATAACTTAAAGTGTAACGATTAATAATTGTCACGGCAAATATTAACAATCTATACATTAAATCTTTGTGATATACTAAAAAAATATATTATTAATATTTGCTGTGATAATTGTTAATTATTGTATCTTAAATGATTAATAAGAGTGATACCCTTTCAGTTGTCAATATATACTTTAAGTAAATAAGAGTAATTTAGTAATTAAATAACTGGATTCTTTTTTAATGAGGTCCTTTGGGATTCAGATTAATTTAATAATTTTAAGGGATTTTTTAATTTAATTCGTTTTGGATGGGACTTGATACAATTTTTACATATTTTTTAATTTGCAATATGGTAGGTTAAAAATAAATTAAGAAGAAAAAAATTAACTTGATCATCGTCAGTTTAACCTTAGTTAAGTTAAATCAAAAAAATCTCGAATAAGGATCTTTGACTGACAGGTTTAGCACCCATTTCGATTGGAAAAACTTTCGGATGCTTCCACGCTCTGTGAGCAGTAACACAATCATTGCGCAGAGAACCCTTCATAATTTAGTATGGACAAAAGCCACTTTTCTAGTCTCTTTAAATTCATATATAAACCACAAGTTAAAAATCTTTATAATTATAATTTAATGACATAAATAAGAAATACAACGGTGGTGTAAAGCGAGCTCAAATGACATGAAAGCCAAAAGTGAGCTGTAAGCAGAAAGAAACCTCGTAATATAATAAATAGATACATAATGTTAATAAAAAATAATTTAACTTTTAATCGTTTTTTTCTCAATTTTTTTCTCTCAATTTCAACTCAATACAATTTAGTGTTTGTAGTTTGTAAAATTAAAAAAAAAAACATGGAAATTTAGTTGTATTAGGGTAGAGAATTATAATAACTTCCGCAAGCCTTTTGACTGTTAATTAAATATGGATGAAAGAATAGCTATTGAGATAGTAAAATATAAGAACTAAATTGACAATAAAAAAAATTAAACACAACAAGTTATATTCTAAAAAAAGTGTTAATGATTTAAATTAAATTTATATATTATGATTATGCGGTTGAATATACTACTATAAATAAATGTACACTCCAACTTCTTAATCCAAACCAAGCATAAAGATTATGTTCCCCCCCTTTTTTTTAATTGCAAGCACTAATAATATCATTGAACCTAAATTTTATATATTATGATTATTATAGTTGAAACATACTACTACCTCTGGTTCTTAATATAAGAATAACTGACTAATTTGAGTATATTGAGAAAATTAGTTAAGTTAGTTATTTGTAATAAATGTGTGTTTTCTTCCTTAAAATATCATTACTAATCATATGTATTAGTTATAACTACCATGTGATGAAACTTAATATATACAAGACTAAATTATATTTTTAGTCCTTTAACTTTATATAAGGTTTCATTTTGATCCCTTAACTTTAAAAAGGATACTTTTAATCCTTCAACCTCAAAATTATTAGTCTTAAATGTATTTTTTTTATAATAATCATAGTTGTTTTGAATATTAAATTGAATATATCAGCATTTAGTAATGTTTTATCAGCATTCAGGAATTTAATATTATCATTTTTTGTTAACAGTTTTAGGATTAGAGGATTAAAAGTTTACTTTTCAAAATTAAGGGACCAAAATATAATTTTGTATAAAGTTAAAAGACTAAAAATATACTTTAGCCTATATATAATTATTACAAAAACTATTTAAAAAATAAATAAATATGAAAGAAATATTTAGAATCAAATTGAATATCAAATTACCTCTTATATTATATTAATGATAGAAGATAGCACTATTAATAAATATGGAAACAATTGGTCACGAACGACTCATATAGAAATAACAAGAAATCATGCACCACAAAATCGTCCGACAATAATTTAAACTTTGGAGCTGGAATTAACAATGAGGAATGATCATTAGTAGCAGTTCACAAGGGGCCATGCCACCCAAAAAGAAGCTTCATTGTTCTACAAAAAAACACGGGCAAGGAAAAAAAAAAAAAAAAAAAGCAAGAAGCTTCACATCGGGCCTATACGAACCCACCACGTGTCCTCGTGGGTCCACATCAACGTGCCGGCAAGGCATTACAGCCAAGAATTCGTCCACCATAGTCCTCCCCCAAAGAAACTCCCTCACCGAATCGTACATTAGCGACATTCCACACTTTCTACCTTTCTCTCTCTAGACCACCACCATCATCATCATCAGCGTCGGCTCAGTTTTCTCTCTCCTCAATCCGCGCCGGGTTGATAGCATCTGTTAACCTAATTCACCCTAAATTCGATTGTGGCTTGCAGATCATTATAAACAAAACATCACGTTCTCTTGCTTTCTCAAGGATTTCTGTTTGATTTCTCGAGAAAGTTAGGGTTGTCGTCGGGAGAGATAATAGCAGCATGAGCTTTCAGGATATCGAAGCCGGCCGGCCTTTTGCTCCGAGGCGAAACCTAATCAATGGCAAGCAAGACCCTACACAGGCGGTAGCGTCGGGTGTATTTCAGATCAACACAGCCGTGTCTACGTTTCAGAGGCTCGTCAACACCCTTGGAACCCCGAAAGACACGCCCGAGCTCCGTGAAAAGCTGTGAGTGCATCCGTTTATGTAATTCGATTATTTTCATGATTCTGGAATATTTTGATTTGCTTGTTTATGTTGAACGATGGTCGATTGTGGTTTACGTTGAATGATTACTCTGTTGCTTCTTTCTTGCGAGTACAATGGATTAAGTTTCATTGCTAATTTTAAACTACGCCATAGCATGGTTGTGCGGCTGTGTTTATGCGCGCATGTGTGTGTGTGTGGCTAGTGCAATTTGAATAATGAATTTAGTAGGATGTTATCGATCACCTTTTGGCTCTGGCCTGGAGCCCTCATGGATGTTGTAAAAAATCAGGAATTCTGGAAGCCTCTAGCTGCATGTCTCCCTGCTACTGCTTTATGGTTGTTAGATCCTCTAGCTATCTGCTGATTACGAAACTACAGCTCTATATTGTAGCATGTCGTCTCCTTATTTATCATCTCACAATGAATACTGTCTTGGATACTCCTATTTTGGCCTTGGTCCTATTTTCGCTGACCCCTTTTTATGTCGAGATTAAGCTACAGTGTTATATAGCCATGACAATATTCATATCAAGACACGTTGTGCGATTGAACTAATCATAAATACCTTTTATATTTATAGTTAGGTTTATGAGTTGAGAATAGTTGAGGTGATAAACAATGTCAAAGTTACTGATAAACTAAACGTTAATATATTCTAGTTAAGTTGATGTCTTTTAATCATTCTCTACAGCAGCAGTCTTGTGAGATCTTTTACCTTCGCTGTTTTTCTGACTGCTCTTAACTTTCAGGCACAAGACGAGACTGCATATTGGGCAATTGGTGAAGGATACATCAACTAAACTTAAGCAAGCTAGTGAAATAGATCATCATGGTGAAGTTAATGTAAGTTTAGACTTTTTTCATATATTGGTTTCATATTCATATCTAAAAGCACAGCTTGATGGCACCGTGTAACAAGTTTGTATGAGGACCGATGAGCATAGACATGCTATAGTCATATTCTAAAATGTGCGAATATCTATTAAAAGCGAGATATGTATTACTTATTAAAATTCTTCCTGAAACTTTTACATTGAGTGGTCTAAGCTTAAAAATAGAGTTCCACTTATTTTTTTTAATCAACATTACAGAAGTTATCTGTATATCATTTTTAGGGTGACATGAACTTCAATGCTTTTGTCATGATTGCAGGCAAGTAAGAAGATAGCAGATGCCAAACTTGCAAAAGACTTTCAGGCAGTGTTGAAAGAGTTTCAGAAGGCCCAACGGCTTGCAGCTGAGAGGGAAACAGCTTACACTCCTTTTGTTCCACAAGCAGTTCTTCCCTCAAGGTGTCTTATGTTGATGCAACTTTATTGAGTGAATTGATTTGAAGAGATGAACAGACTACTTTTAGAAAACTACAGATTTAGTCTGTACTTCCCTGTTTCTGAGCTTTTTTTAACTGACAACCAATTTTCTGTTGTTATTTGTTAATTCTTATTGCCTCTGCATGCATTGCTTATGAAGTTTTGAATTGCAGCTATACAGCTAGTGAGATAGATGCCTCTGGTAAGAGCCAAGAACAACAGGCTCTTCTTGCTGAATCAAGAAGGTGACTTTTCATGTCTTAATGATAGCAACTTAGCGATCCGCTATGTCATTTACTGATTTATTTTCATGGGACTGTGGTATTATTTCTACCTTTTCTAGTAAGAACCAGTGAAGTTTTCATCAATTTATGTAGCAATACAACATGAGAAAAACAATTTTGAAATATAGATGAAATATTACTTATCGCTTTTCTAGCTGTAAAAGGCTGAA